ATGTACCAAATTCCAAACTTTTACATTTATAATATTAGTAGAATGGAATTACTTGGTTAATAGATAAGCGGCAGTTGAAACGATTGAGCCATCATTTTGTTTACGTGTCAAAACAATAATAGCGGGTGTACAATGTAGCTGCCTAATAACATGAGTGATGTTTACAAGAACGACCAGATAACGAGTGAGTAACTGCACGACAATGATGTTTTTCAAATGCAAACACACAAGCATAAAGGTCGAAAAACGAACAAGTTTTCCTTGCGTTCTTCGGGCATGTTACAAAAACAAGTGTTGACACTTGAAGCCTTATTATTATTATTCTTAATATGAGCAAAATTTACTCATAATAATAAATACTTGCAATACCTAACAAAACAAACAGTGACTATCACATAATCTTACTAATATAATAAAGTTGTAACTACACGATGTCTGTACATGGGAGATGTTTAAGAAAAATTAACACGAGAAGTTTTATTAATAACAAAAGATGTTAAAACAATAAGTTTTAAAAACTTTGTCTGTTTTTTTTACAACACAGGGGCAAACGAGCATGCGGCTCACCTGATGGTAAGTGACTACCGCCGCCCATGATCACCCACAACACCAGCGGCATTGCAGGTGTGCTGCCGGCCTTTTAAAAAGGAATATACTCTTTTCTTGAAGGTTATGTTGTCGTATCGATTCGGAAATACTGTCCGGCACGGAAGTCTGTTTGTTTGTATCGGTATCACGCAAAATTCACGGTACCAAATTAAATGCGGTTATCACAGTTGTATTTCTGAAGATTTAATTAAAAATCTGGCATATGGTTTATCTTGATACGCAATGTAGAAATAGTTTTTTTCATTAGTTTTCCTACTTCTAAAATCCACGTGTACGAACTAGCAGGCAAAAAACTTTCATACTCGTAATAATGTAAAAGTGAATTTGTTTGTTCATTCCCTCTTGACATTTTATGGCTTAACCAATTGTCTTAAAATTCCCGTTAATTCCTTTTTATCCCAGTCACGCAGACAAAACCGTGGGTACATCTATATCATAAATAGTCGCCATGCCGGTCACTGCGACTAGTGGTATTTATGAGACACCGAGATAACATACAAACAAACAAACGTTTATATTTTTAACATTAGTAAAGATTATTAAGTGTTAAAATATGTTTGTACCTCCGCTACGTAAGCATAAGCAAACACATAAACCATTAACATATTTTACCTCTTAGTAATTTCTAGAACTACTAAACTGAGGTGAATTTCATAACAGTTTCCAAGGAACAACCGCAACCGGTTTTAAAACAATTGGCGAAAATATCCCATAACATACACTGAGAAAAATATACATATGTATGTATATTTTCTCCATTTTTTATTTATACACAGTCGATATACTAACATTCTACTTTTAAACTGGAATATTGTTTGTTAATACATATATATGAGTTGGAATTATTTTTTTACAAAAATATCTTTATGTAAATAACTGTTAAGCGTACGGCTGATTATCTAGTTCCTCGACTTAATAATAAACTACCCACCGGTGTACGGGATAACAATACTATTAATAACATCAAGTTTAAATTAAAAAAATTGCATAATATTCATACAATTTGGAATAGTCTCAAAATATTAAGCATTAATATAAACCTATGTGCTTTCTGAATGCTAATAGAACATGTTTTCAGTAATTTTGAATTTTTGTAATAATAATAAAAAATAAATAAAAAAATTTAGCGCCCTCAGTACATCATTATCTATTTGTAGTACTTTGTTAGCTACTATATTACTAAATCATGTTTGTATGTTGATAAAGTTATCATCAAATATACGTAAACACAGTTTTAATTACACACCATAATTACAAAAGAATTGTTTTTGTGATTTTGACTTTGTGCATCATTTAAATTTCCCTTGAAAAATCATTCGGTCAATGGCATTGAAAATGAAATTTTAATGCTCTTTCACATGCAGGAGTATAAAAACAATATGCTAATGTCACCTGGTAAATGACGTCATTGGTCTGTATTTACTTAACTACGCACGAGAAATCCAAGAAAAATAATAGGTTAAAATTATTATTGTTTACTCTGCAGCTTTTAAAAACAGCTGAACAAATATAGGAAAAGAAATAATAAAGTAATAAATATTTATTTTCCAAAATACCTACTTTTACCTGCGACTTTGTCCACGTGACATGTGACATAAAAAGGCTTTTTCATCCCAAATACTACGCGTATATCAAATTTCATGACGTCACATTAATATTTATAATAAACTAACGGTTTCCTGCGGCTTCGCCTACGCGAATCTGTATATAAAGTATATTCCGGGTGAAGTAATAATGTAACCTACCAGTATACTAAACTTCAATCAAATTTGTTTAGCCATTTAACTATGAAACAGTAACAAATCATCGTGTTTATAATAGTACTAGGATAAAATGTTTCAATATTTGTATCAACGTCTAAATTACCAGGTAATAAGCGTCTCGCGTCAAAACTTACATTAAAACAAGTGGTGTCAAAGAGGTCATGGCCCGTCTAGACTAAACTACAACGTAACGTGGTCTAGACGTCTACATTATTTAGAATTTGCACTCGAATTATTCCCCTATTTAAATGTTTGTAGTTACTATTCGTATATAAAAAAAGTCTGTTGTATTTATCTCAGTAGTCACTGTAAGGTTCGATTACTTAGCAAAACACTAAGAAGAAAACAAACTGTAAAGAAATACATAGTTTAAAAGGTAATAGAAAAATAACACATAAATAATTACATTTTTTATTCGACAAAAACACTATGAAGAAACCAACATGGAAAGTCATAGCCAAGCCAACATATCGATTGAAAATAATCTTTAAACTTTGTAGAGAAAAAGTGAAGATATCATACATAAATATTCAATAATTCATCTCATTTTTATTCGATAAATAATATATATACATAATATTAAAATGTCTAATTACCAGAGGGATACTTTGTACAAAAGTAGTTTGCTTGGGCACCTCTGTCCCATTCGTGTTTCTACAGTGAAGTTATGTTTGCATGGCTGTTTTGGTTTGAAGTTACACGAATATAAGTACATTATGATAAAAAAAATTGTTTTTTTTTATACAACTTAGAATGACAAACAAGCTGACGGCCCACCTGATGGAAGTGGTAACCGTCGCCTATAGACATGAGCAGTATCATGGACATAACAGAGTATATTGTTTCGCCCATGATACCCCCCATGCGTTGCCATTCCTGAGGACTCAGGTGTTATTCCTCTGTACCCTGTAAATTTACGCATAACACATAAATATAATAAAATATAATAAAATATAAACATACATAAACACACAAGTAGATAGTAAGGAAAAGCTACGCTACTGACGATGACTCGTAACGGAGTTTCCATTCAATGTTGTTATTGTCGTTAGATGCTACGGATTTAGCATAATGAGTAAGTATCTACTAATTTGTTTTGATGGTTTGTGATTTTTTATTTTATTATATTATAATAATAAAATACAATAGAATAGTTACAACGCGTTGGTACGCACACTTCGGTCTAAAGTTCACTATTTCCAAGATCAAATAAGCCCATTATAGGCGTTCTTAAATTGCCTATACCACGACCTACACCTTAGGCTTCTTTTTTTGTCCATTTTCACTCCAATCCTTAATTTGACTGTGAAAATGAAATGATCACGCACACAAACAATTTTCACATAATAAATATAATTATATTAGCCCGATTCGTGATATTTCTTGTATAGAAAGAAAATCTTTAAAAAAAAGTTTTAAGCAACTTCTATTATGCCTACAAACTTACTAACGAAGTAGGTAGATACTCGTAAGTAAAAAAAATAAATTAAAAAAGTGTGGACTAGATGCAGTAGAACCATAAACAATGCATTATCCGTGTTTTCGCTGAATACATATGTACATATTATAGTTCAACATATCACCTTATAGTATATTAATAATTTATACAAAAATGGTCTGAAAAAAAATATTTATTTTTAGAAAGCTGCAAAAAACCTTTCCACTGAGGGAAATCATTAATGTATGCATAATACTCGTCAACAACTTCAACAAGTAATATCTATTCAAGTCAGCGACTTGAAAACTTAGCTATGCTTAAATATCAAGGAAAAAACAACTAAGTTGGAAACACCGCGTAAACAACGCCTATCTCTATTTATATTGTTAATATTTTCCTTTCAATCTTGGCATACATAGGTTTGTTTAATAACTTGCAAATAGTTCAACATGTTTATAGTAATAACAATGTAGTAGAAAAACTTGAATTCCACGTAGGCAAAGTATCGTCACCAACATATTGGGACATCCTTCAAAAACTGGAGAGAATGGGATTGTTAGTGACAGGGTCTATTAGCCCTATTGTTAGCAATATACCTTAACAAGACGACTTCTACGCGGTTCCCCCTGGAAACCATCGTGGTTAATTCTTGTGGAATTCGTGACGATGGGATAAGTGACCTGCTTTCATCCTCGCCTATCATCTCTTACTGGTGCCTCGTCAGCACATACCGAGCGCAGGCGGAGTCTACATTTCATTCTCACCCATTAAAATACCAAAAACTTGATATAACGGTAACTATTTTTTAAACCAAATAATAATTAGGATGATTTACACAAAACAATTGCAAAAAATACAGAATTATATTATTTTATTTGGATACATATAAGTACGTGAAATCGATAATATCCACCTGTTATGAGATATTCAGTAGCAGGACGATAATGGATTTGTTTAGATTGAAAGTTTCAAAGAAGTACTAAAAAATTTTTGTGACATTGGGGAATATATCGCTTATTAAATTCTGAAACATAAGGAAACAATCTCAAAAAAATTATTTACTCGAAACAAGGGTTACAATACACTGACGATACTGCTCGACTTCGCACGGATAAATAGTATTTTCGAAAATAATATATTACTTGTAGTATACTACTCGCTGGCAGTGTAGTTGAGTAGTTTTTGAGTTTATCCATTACAAACAAACTAACATGTCTTTTCTCTTTATAATGTTAGTACAGATTATTATTTTATATATTTGATTATAAATAGTTACACTACTACTCACTGAAGAACTTGGAAAACAGGAACTATTATAGAAGGGACAGAAAGCAAGTCTACAAAGTGTAAAAATAATAATAAAAAAAAAATTGCTTGATAATAAGCATGATGGTTTGTCTAGCAAGTGGGCCTCATTTCAGTGTGTTATCGTAATTTGTTAGTGAAAATGAATTGGATTTCATAATACATGTTCTAAAACGTTTGTAAAGCAAAACAATTTTGGAAATAAGAATAATAGTTTTTCCTCTAACTGTATTAGGTTAGCTAAAAGAGATCTCTTTCAGAGATAAGCCCACCCTTGCTAACAATTTGTTTAACTAATCGCTGTATCTTTTTTTATCAAGTACAAAGAATATATATAATTCAACAACAACGAGTCAACTTCATAACGAAAAACAGGCTTCGTGTATATGACGTTCTTAATATCAAACAGTACCTACATACATTCCAATTAAGTATTTACTGCTTCCTCCAAAAAATTACTGAGTAAACAACTTGGCAAAAAATGACAAGAAACAGATGAACACCCACATTCATACATAATATCGTTACAATATTATAAATGTGAAAGTGTGTTTATTTGTTTACTCTAACGACTTAATTATTCACTATGAAATTGGGTATATAGGTACTATATGGAATGGAGAAAACAAGAGAAAAATTGTTACCGCGGTCAGTGAACAAATATAACATATATCAGATCACGCGGTCAAAATTGCGTGGAAAAGCTAGTAAAAAAAAATAAAGCATAGATGAATGGCCGACAGAAGAAGAATCTTTATCTAGTAAAAGATAGTTTTCTATATTTTATGTAAAGTTTTACTTCTACTCTTAGAAGAAATAAAACTCAAGCAAGCTCCATCAAGCAAACCGTGCGCATGTTTTATTACTTTACTTTGTACTTTCTAATTATGTAAAAAGTGTAAGTAAAAAATGTAATATATAATACTGAACTAATCCAGATTATTCTTTATCTGCAAAAACATTGTCATTATATTTACTTTGTTACAAGTATGTATGACGTGTGAATGAACCCTAGTAGTCGCATTTGCCCGGAAGTAAAGACCTAACCTAAATCTATATTAGTTTTGCAATGATGGCCATGGTGTTACGTGATGGCACGCGAAAGAACCATTGTTTAGAATAGATAAACAAGTATGGATGCCGATAAGGATTTGCGTCTTCATAACATCCTGTATTAAGAATCACAATTAGTATTTACAATAGTTACCGGAAATGGGCATGTTTTTTAATCTTTCAGAATCAGTTTCCTCGAAAATAAACATAATTAGTAAAAGCAAAAGAATGGCCATATAATGACGTCAATATAATAGTCAAACTTAAAAAGTAATATTAAGATGAGGGCACAACATTGAAATCTCTTCAACGCTTTGACTTAGTTAAAATGGTAAAGAGATTAGTCTCTCAAAACAATTTCTAGTAAATAATTGTTTGTTGGAAACACTCTTCGTATATTTCGGAATGTTTATAGGTAATCTATATAAACATATATACTACATAACACTTCCGAATAATAAAATACCACTGTAAAGCTTTCCACAAAATGTGAAAGAGAAACACAAACGTGTAGTATGTACCTAATACAACCATTTAGTATGCGGGTTCAAGATAGCAAAGGGTGAAAATGGTTGTTGTTTTTTCCATAAAAATGTTTACATTGTGTAAGATTTGGACAACAAACATTTTTCGAAACTTTACTGTTGTGGCGCTGTGCCTTTATTCCGTGCCTTATTTCATTATAGTATTTAGGAACCGTTATATTATATTAAAGGTTCTGAAATGAAGAATCGCAAACCCTATCGATGCAAAAAATAATATCAAAATCCATGACAAAACGATAACGAAAATCTACGTAATATAAAAAAAGCAACCGAAAAATAGGACCACTTCTTATTTTACGTCGCTGAAAAATATAATAAATTAATAATTGGGCAACAGTTCCAAATATATTTTTATATTAATAATATAATATTATTGTAATTCTTCCTACTGTTCTATTACTTTCTTAAGTTTACAAATTATGTAATATAAATTTAACTTTTTTTACATTGATGGTTTTTTTTTAAAAACGATGCCCAAGGTACTATTCATGTCTATAGGCGACGGTTGCCACTTTCCATCAGATGGGCCGCCAGTTTAACATTGTAAGTTACATTAGAAAAAAAGACATAAAATAATTAAAAGGTTTAATGTTTAATTAGTTATTATAAAATTAAAAAAAAAAAAAACAGAAAACATTATATCATTCATTACGACAACGATGAAAAATGTAATATGGAGGAGCTACTTTTCAAGTATAGTAAGAATGAGTAATGATGGCTGGCACTCCCAGTGTATTCACCGTAGTGTTTGTTTACAAACTGAAACGAGGGCACCTTTCTTCTTGCAAAACATTCAAGTAGTGACTAAGTGAAGTTGGCAAAACAACTTGCGTCACTCTATAAGCGGTCTCGGTCGTTGTGGCCTACTTAATAATTTCGTGAAAATAACACGTCGCCGTTGTTAATAATAACAATTAAATTCACTTCAAAATTATAATATAGTAGCTAATTTTCTATTAATTTACAGAATATTTTAGAACTTGAAAATACGTGTAATTTAACTAAACCATGAATAAGTAAACAATTATAAATATACGACTTATATCATAAATTTCCTACCCTTATTCCTAATATTTATTTGGAGTCGACGTAACATGTTCTTCTTTTTATTCTTCTTCTCTTACCGTAGTCATTTTCGCATTCACTCCCATTCTGACCATCGTATCTTTCAAACAATCTACTCATGTCTTATTAAGTCTTCCCTGTACTTACACGTACTCATTATTAATACATTCCTTAAAGCATGCTCCTTATCCATCCGCATTATAACATCTGAATTAAATTTATTTGCAAATAACATCGTGTTCGTTATTAAATACTCATTTATCAAAATATTAAGACATGTAATTGTTTGACATTAAAACATGAGTTCTTTAATAAATACGGATAACTTTCCAATCAATATAATAATTACGTAAAAACACATAAACATTAAAAGGAAAAACCTATTTTTAAAGCTATAAACAGGATGCACACAGTTCATCCGTTAGGGAAAAATTATTGTAGAGCGACATAACCCGCGATATATATATTCTGTAATTATTTGACATCAATACCATCTGATAGATTTATTACAATCATAACTATTCAAATAATAAAAAATTTCATCTTGACAAGGACTTACAGTAGATGTATTTAAACAAACAAGTGGACAATATCTTTGCTCGCTAGTTTATATACCTACCTTCCTACATACTTCAATACTACTAAAAACAATAACAACTTTCTACTGCTTTAGTGTTGAGGCAGATTAATTAATGCAATAACTGATAACAGACAAACCAATACACTAAGGGAAAACCCTACGCCTATATTTAAATTCACAAACAGGATGTTGAACATGTACGTAGTTTCAACTATTTCTAAAATTACTAACAGGTAAACAACCGATTCCTTCATTTAACATTAATTTATCATTATACAGTTAACTTTTAATTAATGATTTTAATAGAAAAAAAAAACAAAAAGAATCTGGGGGCGTAACAACGACCGCTATAGAAGACAACAGGAGAGCAAATAATGTCCAATATCACAAAAAAAAAGATTGCCAATTATAACTGTCACATTTATTTTATTCAGTTGTCATAACTTACTAGCTTTTACCTGCGACTTCGTCCACATGATCGGGATATTTTTACTAATCGGGATAAATAGCCTATATCCTTCTCCAACATATATAGTACGTGTATACTAAATTTCATAGTCATTGGTTACGCTATTAAACGCATAAGGTAACAAACATTTATAATATTAGTATAAAGTATAACTCATATACAGCATACCCATAACACGAATCTAACAACACTTTTAAACAATTTCATTTCCACTAACAGAGAAGAATTTGTACAAAAGTGATTTGCATATGTACCTCTGTCAAGGTCCATATGTACCTCTGTCAAGGTGCATATGTACCTCTGTCAAGGTGCATATGTACCTCTGTTAAGTTGCATCTATTTCTACGCTCAAGCAGCTGCGATCGCATAACTATATTGTGTTTGTAAGATGGGATATAGCAGTGAAAATACAAAGCGTGACAAATACTGCAGTCCGCAGTTACTACCATATCCGGCATCTTGTTTGCCATTCCAAATTGTATAAAAAATCCACTTAATAACTATTGTCATACTGTTTAGGCTATGGGATACGCCAAACGAAAACACTTCAACATTAGATTCCTTTCCTTGACAGTCGGATAAAAAGCCGTCAATGGTTATGAAAATCACGCCATTAAAGAGCTGGTAAAACAACTGATAAGGTACCAATAAATTCCATACACAGTTTTCTTTTTCTATGGAAATAGATAACCTCGTTTACATGGATGGGCAATTGACGTAACACACTTATCAGATCGCGGTTAACCAGTCCCATGTACGGTTCACATATTTTGATTACGTTTGTACTTTTGCGTTTTTATTTGGGCATCAACCTGAACACACTGATACATGTGACTGATAAAAGTACGTGTAAAAATGAGTATTTCCAACTTATCTAAAGTAGCCAACTGGTTATTGGAAATGTACATATTTTTAGTGTCAATACGAAATCAATATCCATGAGCTGGAACAACGCACAAATTTATCACGTGAGGATAACATTACAATTTTAAATAATTTTAATGGCATAGTGACACAGGTGGAGACTCGTGACAGGAGCGTATACAAATGAAAACTAAAATAAAACTTATATAATAACAATTACATAAAAAAGAGATATTAATATGTTCTATATTAATTTTGTGAGGAATTTACAAGAGGAAAGTAATATATCGATTTAAAAAGTATTATATAAATAGAATACAGTTATAAATAGATTTATATTGCGAATACGCAAATATTAACTACCACTACTACTATTATTAACTCGGCAAATGTTCTGCCATACAAATTAGTGGCACCCTAATCACCTAGCGGTATAAAATATGCCTAATCATATACCTACCAATTATACATAAAATATTTTATAAAAATCGGTCAAGCCGTTTTGGAAGAGTGCGACCACAAACACCTTAACACAGGATTTATATATTTATATTAAAATTACTATCACAGTATGAAGCCTTTAGAATGTTATTAATTCTAATTATTACCACATTTGATTGCAAAGGTTTATTTATCTAGCGATTAGGAAGCTATCACTCTACGTGACATTATTATTTTTCACAATTAGCAATCGACCACGAAGTAATCGCGCAATGTTTGTTAAATAGGTAATCAGCTTGTTGACTGATATGTTGGCAGAAGTAGGCGCATGCCCTTTGATCACCAGAGGCATCAGCTAGAACCATATATAACGACTTATTTTTGGTAATAGTATATTTTTATGCTCTTATCACTCGATATCTTCGCCATTTCTAATCGGATTATAATCAAAGGGGGTTTACTTCCGTCCCACGGAAATTCCGTCCCACGGAGGTTCCATCCCACAGAGGAGGAAGAGATTTTTTTGCAATCTATATAGCGTTGGTCTATACATTGTCATCAGCATGAGATACACGTGTAACCTCAAATTGATACAATTGAAGTAAAATTCAGGTTAGAATATGTGTTTGCAAAATTAAATGTGACCTCAAAAACCGTATTAAAGAAAAGTTGTTTCCCTCCTACACAGTTACCAAATTTAATTATTATAATACATTTGCCGAATGTCTTCAGTCATGATAAATTCGACGTTTAAAACACCCACATTTTAACATCTGTTTCAAATATCTACACAGTTATCATTAAATACACCCACCACATAAGATCTAATAAATATTACACTTATTTAATTACTATATCTAGCAATTACTACCGTTCGACTTTGTCCGCTCGATTGTGATAAAAAGTAGCATAAGTAGCAGCACAAGTAGTAAATAAATCATACCAAGATTGATTATGAAATAATACGCCAAACAAAAATATATATATTTATATTACTATACAATTGCAATATTACAAAAATTATGAAATAAAATCAGAACGCAAATGAAAGAATCCTTAGTAATATTTATAAATAAGAAAGTTTGTTTGTTACCTCTTGGCGCTTTAACGGCTTAAACAAACGTTATTTATTTTTGTTTTATACTGGATGGTACAGGGCAGGCTACATTTTATCATGGTTAATGATAATGAACATAGGCTGATCACCACACGACCCACCCTTGAAATCATCATGATTACTTCTTGACATTAGTAATTTCGTCATCAATCTGGCTTGACATCATCCTCACTTCACTGGTACCCCTTGCCAGCGTTAACCAAAAGCGTAAGCGATGTTACCATTTTTAGGATTCCTAAATACAGAAATCATTATATTTTTAAAGTTCAATATAATGATTCTGTCAAAGGCAATAATCTTTAATAGCGTATTGAAGTGAAGTACGTATCTACGTACTCGTATACGTATGAGATGTAACTGGATAATACGTAAGTAAACGTATAGTACGCGTATCTACGTATTATTATAATGCGTCATTTTTATGTAATGTCACATCATTGTGTAACCTTGCTAGTTTTATCTATACGAGAATATATCCAAAGGCCTGTTCCATTCAAGGCTCATATTTCACTGATGACTATAACCCGACACTTTGCTCTCCTCAATTTAGATAAAAAAAGTATCCTAATTGTTAATCAAGAATAAAACTCGTACAGTGTATATGAATCCTTTTGTTTTAAAAAAAAAAAAGAGTCATGAAGCTTGATACCACTAGTGTGAAGTCTCGTGAAACTGATTGATTGATCAAAACACAGTTGAAAGTTCTACGTTTTAAGACAAGTATTCCTTATAATATAAAACTTGATTATTGACAAATTATTTCCCAAAAATTCCCATAGACACTGAAACTAGATAATTTTATGAGAGCGAAATTACAAGACACTGTATGTATTATTAAATAATTATGCATTTTATATATAAATTGTGGGAGATGCGTATCGTTTAGACAAAATTTATAGAAATATGAAC